ACAGCATCGATCAAAACTGTACGTATCTGATCATAAAACTCTACATTCTTGGCATCTGAAGCAGAAGCAACGTTGGATGCCGAGTCCCTTGATCCGAAATTAGTTCACGCAATGCTGCAGGCTGTACCCAATGGTACAAACAAGATTATAGCATCCTTTATCACCTGCTCTCTTTCATAGTAAAAATTTTCTCTAAATTTTCTTCTTTGTTGTCTTCCATTTTCTCTTTCATACTAAGATTTCTTTCTTATCTTCTTTTATTTCTTCCTTGGCTGGGCCAACTGATATCACCTCTGTTTTAGAAACTATCTTCCTCAATTTAGTCGCTATTAGCGCTGGATCCAACTGTCCTACAACTGTTAGCTTTTGGTTCCTGCTGCAATTTCAGAATATCTGACATTTTCCTGTCCAATTCAACTTGTGCGTCACGGATTTCCTTATTCAAAAGCAAGATGGCCTTCACATCCTCTTTTTGCTGCAGCTTCAATCTCTTTAACAGTATTCCACTCCCTCCTACTCCGCCTAATGGCACCACTTGATGCCCTCCATTCCCTTCGTTTCCTTGCTGTATCGTCGTGCCTGTGTTGCTTCCTGAAGACCCTCCCACATCCCCTGCTTCCTGCTGCACTTTCAGCAAATCTGACATTCTTCTTTCCAATTCATCTTGTTTGTCATGGATCTTCCTAGCCAAAAGCAAGACCTCCTTCACATCCCTTGCTTCCTGCAGCTTCAATATCTCTAACAGTATTCTAAGAGACCTATCCAACTCAACAAGTTGGTCGCTGTAACTAGGCGTTGTGCAGTTGATGCAGCTGCCCCATGCATAACAATTCCACATACCAATATTCGACAGCTTCCTAACAAGCACTATGCCCTCCTCCATTTGTCTTTGTAGGCTCTCAATATCGTCATTCGGGAGGCCTAACTCCACATTATGATCTCCTATCTGTTGGACGATGCGCGGCCGTAGAGATTCTAGAGTGAATTTCAAATCTCCAAGGAGGGGTTTATACTGCAAAACAGTCCTGCCCATCGATTCCTTAACGGCATCATACAGCGCTCCGAAGGGTGCTCCTATGGCAGCCGCTCCAACCAAAGCCAGTGCCATGGCCTCAACAACAACAATAACCCAGCGGTTTTTTTATATGTTTCAATCTAAACTTACTCACAGAACTTTGTATATGTTTCAATGTAAAATATTGCTCTACCTTATTGGCGATCCGTTGGCTTCTTCAGACCAGTTTCGCTCAAATCCAGAGGCCTTGATTAACTCTTGAAGCTAACATGAATCTTGTGGGTCTCCAGCCTCCCCGGTTTCTTGTTGGACATTCTTTCCCTCGAAGAAGCTCCGATCACAGAATTGTCTCTCTGTTGGACTTTCTTTCCCCGGTTTCTTGTTGGAGTTTGCCCCTCTGGTGAGGTTGGGTGGTGCACTCAACCTGTTTGATGAATTGACTCAACCAAGAGAGATGGAAGGAGAGAGCAATGGAGGAAAGAAGGCACGGGTCTTTCAAATATTGGAGTCCGCTGTTTAGATTGGTACCGAGTCCAATGTTTCAATATACTCACACCACTTAACAGACATCTAACGGTGTTAAATTTCCCCTTTCGAAGTAGTTGGTGAGAAGGGTTTTCTCTCTCCCCCTTTCGAAGTGAGAGCTTGTGTACCTGGTCGCTGCTAGGTTTTGAGTCTTTCCCTTTTGTTTCTTCACAAGATCTGGTTTTGAGTCATAAAGCTTGAAATAAATACTACTTCAAACCCTAGAATTACTAGGAATCCTAATCTAAAAACGACAAAACAAAACCTAGCATCAATAGGAGCCCTAGAATTACTAGGAATCCTAGCCTAAAAACGAAAATAACAAACCCCAGCACCACTAGGATGACTAGGAATCTTTAATTGAAGTCTAAAAAAGGTCTCAAGATGACTAAAATCTATAATAATTTCTCCAATAACGGACGCGTACGTGAATTTAATAGCATGATAATTATAGATTTGAGAGAAAGATAATATACACTAATAAAGAGGAAAAAAAAATAATCATAATTTCGTGATAATACAATTGTTTTTACATGAAATAAAACAGTTAAGAACTCATGGAACAAAAAAATATTCATTAATAACCGTAAAAGCAAATTATGTATCGAAACAGGTCCCTGAGTTTTCTTAAGGAAACAACCTCCTTGAGTTTTCTATACATCTCCAACATAATAAAAGAAGTAAAAGATTACAAGAATCAATTCGTTCATCATTGCAACTGTATATCTCTGTCCGCCCACCATAAGTATTTTGTTCTTCGGATCCCCAGTTAGTGAATTCACCCCTTCACAATCAAATCAGTCCCAAGTTTTTGTTATTCTTACAGCTGACCATAGTTTTAAATGAATGGACATTATTTCATTTGATCTCATGTCATGGGATGCCTTCCAATTTGTACATGTTGCCCCAAAAGTTCCTGTCCCGTCAATAGGAAGATCTCAGGGAAGAAATTCATTGAATTTAATTTTATCAGATGGATTGACAAATACGATTATTTTTCTGAATTTTGTTTTTGTACTGAAAATAAGTCATATAAAATTAAACAACAACTAAAAACCACATTAATTGGGAATTGGAAATTAATTCCACTAACTTTATTCCTATAATGCCTGACGGTTGGTGACAGATGATGAAGTTCAGAGACCCCCACCCTACCCCAGCCACACACAACCTCCCTGGATCACATCCTCTTTTTGTTGATGATGGCCTAAAAGCAAATGGATTTCCAAAAGTTAAAAAATGACAAGAATCAAATGAATATTGTAGAACA